CCCCCCACCGCAACGTCCCCTGTGGATCCCACACCCATCACAATGTCCCCTGTGGATCTCACACCCATCACAACCTCCCCTGTGGAACCTTCACCCATCGCAACGTCCCCTGTGGATCCCACACCCATCACAACGTCCCCTGTGGATCTCACACCCATCACAATGCCCCCTGTGGGACCTCCACCCACCACAACGTCCCCTGTGGATCTCACACCCATCGCAACGTCCCCTGTGGAACCCACATCCATCGCAACGTCCCCTGTGGAACCCACATCCATCACAACGTCCCCTGTGGGACCTCCACCCACCACAACGTCCCCTGTGGATCTCACACCCATCACAACATCCCCTGTGGATCTCACACCCATCACAACGTCCCCTGTGGAACCCACACCCATCGCAACGTCCCCTGTGGATCTCACACCCATCACAACGTCCCCTGTGGAACCCACACCCATCGCAACATCCCCTGTGGATCTCACACCCATCACAACATCCCCTGTGGATCTCCCACCCATCACAACGTCCCCTGTGGATCCTACATCCATCGCAACGTCCCCTGTGGGACCTCCACCCACCACAACGTCCCCTGTGGATCCCACACCCATCGCAACATCCCCTGTGGATCTCACACCCATCACAACATCCCCTGTGGATCTCCCACCCATCACAACGTCCCCTGTGGAACCCACACCCATCACAATGTCCCCTGTCGAACCTCCACCCATCGCAACGTCCTCAGCAGCCCTTTTGGGGAGGAAAACCCTGCAGGTGAAGGCCACCAGCTGGACTTCTTCTTGGCCTGGATCCCCCACCTCCACCGGCACCGCCCCTTCTCCGCAACGTCCCTCCCCCGGGGACGGGGGGCAGTTGCACAAGACGACCTCCCGGGACCACGCCAGGACTCGGCAGCCCCTAACCCCATCCCCGACCTTCGGCCATCACGACGTCCCCTGTGGATCCCAGACCCATCACAACATCCCCTGTGGAACCCACATCCATCACAACGTCCCCTGTGGATCTCACACCCATCACAACGTCCCCTGTGGAACCCACATCCATCACAACGTCCCCTGTGGGACCTCCACCCACCACAACGTCCCCTGTGGATCTCACACCCATCACAA